CTATGCAAAAATAGTTCAAAAATTGGAAAATAGTTAAAAATTTCACGCACCAGCGCGTGAAAGCTGTATTCGAAACCTTGAGATTCCCAAGTTTACAGTTTAACCGCCAAAATTCTCACGAGGTCGTAGATGATACTCGTAGATGAATTTGAAAAGGCAAGGTTGAGCGTGGAGAGGGGGGTCATTACCCTAAAATTTCAGCCTCCTAGATTCCGTGGTTCCCGAGATACTGATTTACCCGTAAGAAAATTTCACGGGGCCGTATGTGTTACCCGCGGGTGCGGTAAGGCTGAATATGGATGAGTAAGGTTGAGGGTCGGAAGGGGGTCATTATCCTGAAATTTCATTCTCCTAGACTGCGTGGTTCACGAAATGTTAACTTATCCGTAAAAAACTTTCACGGAGCCGTACGCGTTACCCGTGGGTACGGGGAGGCTGAATTTAAATATGCGGGGTCACACGTAGGTGGGAAACATTCCTCTAAACTTTCAGCTTCCTAGCTTTTGTGGTTCCCGAGTTGAAAATTGCGGACAAGTTGCTGCGAACACACACACAAACACACACATAGACAATCCCGCGACAATATGCGTTTTGTACTGCTGTTACACAGCACAAAACGCATCATAGTAAAATATAACTAGTGTTCAGTCTGCACTTGCTGTAGTAGTACTACGGGAATCCAGTTGGCTAGATCTGTGCCGCTTTTTCAGGATTTACGTCGTGAAGTAAGCTCCGCTGTTCATTCGTTGTCGAGCAGTGATCCGGATCCCAGTGTATTTGATTGCTTGATGGCCCCGGTTGAGCAGTATCTCCGACAGCAGCATGCGCAGTTTGTTTGCTCCGAGGAATTCCTTGATGCCTACAATCGGGTGGAGGAATTTGCGCTAAAACCGCCACGAATGCCATCATCTTCGCTGACCAGTAGCCGAAAACAACGCAAATCATACCCCTATCAACCGACACTTACAGCTGAGATGCTGCTCAAAACGCAATATGAACGTGAAACCACACTTGGCGAAAGGTCCACTTTTTTGACGTTTTTATATCGATACATCAGTTCATCCATTAGTGGTCCTATCATATTAAGTTTAGTAAATACGTAGCTCTAAAAAAATGCCAATTTGTTGTTAATTTGGCTAAAAAAAAAACATAGAAAATAAGCATTGACAGGTTCAGGAGAGGGGAAGGGGGGGGGGGGGGGGGGGGG